TTTTGTTTAGAGACATACCAAAAACTATCGATCAATAAATGTCGAAATCTAAATATTTTGAACACAATTTTATGGCTTCAACTAAATATATATTATAAACGGGGGTGGTTGGTAATTTTAGTATAAATAGTAATTGTTGGTAATTTTACTGTATATATTTATTGGTAATTATGATTATAAAAATGTATTTTCATGCTTTTCTAATGTAATATTTTGGTTTAGGGGTTCAATTTTTGCCCATAGCTGGGACCCAAACAGGTGATACCCGCCCCGCGTCAAGCTGGAGTTGGGAACAACAGCAATTAACAGGCAATTCCACGCTCGTCAAAACATTCCCTTGTCCGATCTGAGGCCTTGTTGCCGGATGTAGTTTATCATAATACCCAGGAATATGAAAGAATATGAGAAAGACCCAATAAAGTAACATGAATTAAGAAGACGGAATATATCGATTGACGATGCGTATACTTTGTTTAAAATTAAAGTAGCCTTCAAAGTAGCTGTCCGGAAGAGACATTCACAAAAGAGAGGTGTTACAGAAGAAACCTTTCGCATTACTTACTCTTAGTAATTTACAGTTATCTTGAGTTGTTTCAATTCTAAAATGATGACATCTAACTGCCAATATTTTAATGCATTTAAATTAGTTAAGTCATGTTACCAAAGAGAAATGCTCGACACAGGAATTACCATGAAAATATAGAAAATTCATAGTAAAGATAAATTACGACAGAAGCCGAGATGTAAAGTTAGGACCGATAGCTTTGCAGGATAATCTTTAAATTTTATCAAGAGTCTGTAGATATATTGTACAATTACTAGACCTTATATGACAGCAAGAGTCATTGTATAATGAACAAGTTAATAAATTTAAAATATCCAAATTCAGACAAACTATGTATAAGTTAACATTCAATCAATCAGAAACTATAAGTGCCTGGTGTAGTATCTAGGTATTTATTATTATTATTATTATTATTATTATTGAGAAATTCGTAACCTCATATAATGTGAAGAGTGTAAAAATTGTGTTATGCTATTGCCCCCAAGTTTTAGCGCCTGCCTACCTAAAAAAAATTTCAAAATTCTGGCTTTTACAATAGTGTCTCGTAATAAAACTTTTATATTTCGCAACGATAGGCGAGTACATACGATTCTTTTGGAGGTAAGCGCAGCTGACAATCCAAGATGTGCCCATGTCACATCCCCCTTAAATATCCGCCGCCATTTTCGAATACTAAGAGAGAAACCAAACATTTGTCACTTTTTGTAACGTTTTATATTTGATTTGTTGATGAATTAACCAGTCGCATGTGTCTTGTTCGGAGTCGCTCACTAAAGAGAACAATGCAATTTCTTCCTAAAATTATAGATTTAGAGATATTCTTGTACAATATATAGATTTAGAGATATTCTTGTGTTTCGCAGTCAGAATGAAGGTGTTTGTATTTATTAAAACGGGCTATTTGTGATAATTCAAAGGAAAACAGTACTTTCGAAAGCATTATCATATAAGTTTGACAATGTTTGAAAATAAAGTGACCTCATAATAAATGATCAAAGAAATCCATGAACTTTTAAACCCAGATTGGATGTCTTGATGTCTGCAGGTGGAATATCTTTAATTTACTTTCTAACATATATATTTTATTATGTGATGCGTTTTACATAGACTCGAATGTCGACTCTTATATTCGTCATATAACAGCTACCCGTCCAGAACCTAAATAGTACAACAGCGAATATTCTGCAAGAATTATTAGCTACTGTGTACCGAAAGGAGGCCTTAGGGGAAGATATAAAGAATTTTCGGAAGACATGTCAAAGCGAGGAGAAATACGCAGATAGTATGAAGAAGGACAAATAGAATTATAAAAAAAATATTAAAGAAAGAAACAGACACAAAAAAAATAAACAAAAGAAAGATATTACAAATCAAGAATGACACGAAGGTATCTATAGAATACTAATAGCCTATGATTGCGTGTGTGATTGTGTGGTACTTCCGATCAGCGTATAATGATTTAAGTTAACCTGGTTTAAGTGAATAAGATTGCAAAATACGAGTGGTTTCTACAGTAAGTATTTTTATTTTAACTTTCTTCAAACAGACAATTTTAATTAAAATATTTTAAAGCTAAAGAAAGACAAAAAGAGATCCTTCTTTGCTGTTTCGTCTAGTTGTTTGTAATTATTTATATTTTAGCTTTCTTTAAAAAAAAACAACAATGGTTTAAGTATTTAATAATATTTTTGGCATATTTAAAAAATATTTTAAATTGAATATGATTTAAAGTAATTTTTGGGATATTAAAATATATTTAAGTTAATCTGATTAAAACTTCAAGTTTATCCCGGAAGTTCTTTTCTTATCAAATGCTGTAAAATATCGGTAAAACGTTAAACATTAACTTGTAAAGAAGATCAATGACGGCAGAAATGAATTGAAATATTTAACTGAATCATAATTAAATCAAATTTCATTTCAATGGAATGTTGAAGTAAACTTCATTATTTTATAACCTGAACCTTCAGTGACCCAAGAGGTCACAGGTAATCTAGTAAAAAAAATAAATGTTTAATACTTCTTCTTTAGAAGTGAGCGATCGTGGCACTTCACATTTTTCGTGCTATGTTGCACTTATTAAATATTGTCTATTCGATATCTCTCAATCACTGTTCTGCCAGTCACTTACACATGGTCTTAGGAAGGTAATACCCTGCTTTCTTCTGTCCGTCTTCTCTTTAGTATGTTTCGCGAGTGTCAAATTCTTTAACTCTACTGTCCACATTATATTTCAATCATCTCTTCCATTTTTTCTAAAACTTTGTCATCGTTCACATATTCAGTGTATGCTATTCTCAGCATCCTTCTGTAGAACCATATTAATGTTGCTCCAAACCTCTTTTTTGAGGACGAGCGTTCCCCGACACATCGGCGGATTGTTATTTCATAACACTTCAATACACTTCTATTTGATTCTAACGATGTTTTCCTGTTTTTTAATGTTTTTCTTAGCATTTTGAAGACATATTTCTCTGTCCCAATTTCCCTTTTGATTTCGGTGTCCCACATTCCGTCCTGGGTTAAAATTTCCTAGATATTTATTTATTTTTTTTGGAATTGTCAAGGTCAAAATAGTAGCCAATGACTAAACCTACCTGAAGTCCGTTGTTAAATGGAGCAAATGATGGCTTGTTAATTTTAACGAATCTAAAACAAAACTTTTCCCCATTAATCATCTGAGAAACGTCTCTCTGCCTTCCATAAGTTTCTACGCTCTCACATTTCCGTGGAACGTATTAATCTAACATGAATTGGAAAGACTTCGTTGAATCCGTTTTTAAGAAATTTGGTTCACTGTGTCGTGCGAGACAATTTTTCTCTCTCCAGAATTTATCTTATATATCTATAAGTCTACCATTCGTCCACACACTGAATATTGCTGTCAAATATGTTCATGTTTTCTGCTATATATTTAGAGGTTCTTGTTTAGACTTTATTCATTTAAGCGTAGTACTAAACCATGCTTAGAATATTGTTGCCACATATTGTCCAGTACTCCTGATATGTACCTTGAGCTCCTTGATAAAATCCAAAGAATCAGCAATATTATTTAACCTATCTCTACTTCAGTCACATTCCCACCGCCGAAAGTTTGCCTGGCTGTGTCTTTTCTTTAAATACTATGGTACCCAGACTTTTTCTTCATTGGCGTCAAGATCTCATAAATTTATATCTGAGGTGGATAGATGTTGTCATAAGTTCTATGGAAACAGCTTCTTTTCTCACACTTCTCGCTTGTGGAACTCCATTTCTATTTACTTTAATCTGCAAAAAAAATGAAATGTCAGTCGATCTCTACTGTTCTCCTGACTACTCCTTTCTCTTCTTACTCATTATTAAGATTTCTGTACCTCATTCTTCCACATTTTGTAACTCCGTGTGTCTTAGTGATTTTAATGCCTTGCATTGGGTGATACAGATGAAAAAAAAATTTTTTTGGTCTCTGTAATTTCTAATTCTCATGTTAGGTTTTCCTTTTTGCTGACAACCGCACACTCTGTCTTCTGACAATTTATGGTTAGATATTTATTCACACTTTGATTTACTACCTCCTGTTTTTTCATTTCAGTAAAAGTCAGCATTGCGTAAATTTAAACATAGTTGTCTAACGCGCAAAAAATATTTTCAAATAATGTTAGAGTGAGAAAGAGTGTAGCACATTAATAAAAAAAATATTGGAATGAAAGCAAGAAAGAAATAAACAAGGAATAATGAATTAAGATGAAATATTCTGTCAGACTGACAGAGACGATAATAGTACATAAAATAAGTACAAAAATTCCAAAATAAGACAACGTATTAAAGGCGTGAAAAGACGCTCGTTGTGGTGGGGCGAAAATATTTGCCGGATCAAGCGTTGCTGTGCGCCGTCTTTTCGGCCATATTTGACGCCTCTTCCTTTTGTTGTCCAAATGCGTCGACTTCTGTCCAATCAACATAAACATCCTTGACCACAGCAACTCCTTTCGATACCTTTTATTCTGGGTCATTCAACCTTAGCCCCATAGATTCTCGATGGCAAATGCCTTACTTTTATTCTGGATTTTATTTGTGGAAGTATTTTTATTTACGTACGCATGACTTTCCATTCTCTGTCTTCACGTCATTTTGGAAAGGTTCAGTCAATTCATTGCGTTAGTCCACAAGTTCCCTCGGGTGGCAAAGAATTGTTGGCTCGTTTCCTTGCCTGGGATTTATATTTTATCTTGCTTTTGTTCATTAATCACAGATTTTTATTGATTTGATCTGAATGTGTATGTCTGGTTTGTATTTTTATTTTTACTCACATTTTTATCTGTATATAGCTTCTGATGATTTGTATTTGTTTTGTATTTTCTCACCTCGATTTCTTTAGTCTTTTTCATTATTTTTTTCTCTAATATTTAATTATTTCTACCCAGTTCTCTCTTGATTCTTCTATTGTTATAGTGGCTTACGGTCATATCAGGTTGAAACACCGGATCCCGTACTATCAACGAAGGTAAGCAACGTTGAGTCTGGTCAATATATAGACGGGTGAACTCTTGGGAATAGCAGGCGTCGTAAAGCTTCAATGTGTAGATGATCTATTAGATAACGAATTGGAATTGTTCATCGGAGAGTCGAGTTCAAATTCCAGTCGGGGTCGTTATATCCACATACGTACAAATACCATTGGGAAAGGTATGAATTCAACTATTTTTCCACCCATGAGTTAATTATTAAACATTAAAAATTTAAAAAAAAATGATAAAATCTACAACAAAAATCTTCGATTTAAATAACATGTATTCCTTTATTTTATTTGTTTTTCCTCCTAATTTTTTCTTTCTTTTTTTAATTCCCAACAACTCGATCTAATGTAACCAAATACTTCTCCCTTTGTCTTCTTTTCCTTCCACTTACTCTCAATATTTTTATATCATATTCTTATTGTCTTTCTTCCTTTCCAGCTTCACCTTTCCTTTTCCTTCATTCGTTTTTATTCTACTAATATTCACCCAGTGCAAGGTCCAAGAGCCACTGAAGATAGATTATTACTGCACAGTGTTGGGAGAAAAAAGGACAGGAAGTGACGTTCGTGTGCTTATGCGGGAAACTCTAAACTTGAAGATGTCAAGATTAAAGTAATTAGGAGGTCTGGAGTCTGTTCCACAAAGAATCATTTCATGGGGGAGCGGTTCAAATGGAACTTACTTCTTATAAGAATACGAATAGGAATGGAGCTTATTCTACCTTGTGTACGTGGCATGTCCAGACCGAGTTGTAAATGCCAGCGATTGTGGGGCTTATTAATGTAACTCGTCATATCATATTCCATAGATGTAACAACAGAGCAGCAAAAATCTCGCAAAGATTTCGTCCATCGGAAATGGGTAGAAGGTGGAAAACAATTTATCACAATCAGGTCAGCGTGGACACTTTCGAACTCTTTCAATGTCGGGAGGTTTACAATGGGTATCATCGTCGACGGGGTTTTGGATAGGCTTTTGAACTCTATCAAAACAGGTGGTTAACTGGCAGCTGTGGCCGCAATACCTAATATTTGGCCTCATCTGGCTCTTGTATTTTAGTTGGAATCACATGATTAATCTAACTGTAAAAAATAACCCAAACACTTTCTCAGCATATTTAGCGATAGATCGGATTTATGGTTTCCACTTGAGGGCTGGGGGTGAGTTTCTTTCAATCTCTTAGTGCTTATACCATTTTATCTAGTTTCCCTTCCTTTTAGATTGTCAAGACTTGGATATGACGATAAACTACATCAGGCAGCAAGGCCTCTAACCGGGGGATTTGAGGTTTTGAGGAGCATGGCAGCAACTCTTAGATGTTGTTGTTCCCCAATCTATCTGGGGTGATAGCTTATGGTATGTTCCCATTGATAGATAAATAGTAAACTCAAAAGCAAGACAAATATATATATATATATATATATATATATATATATATATATATATATATATATATATATATATTAATGTATAAGATATATTGATAGTAAAAATACCAGCAATATATTAGTATGCAAAGAAAAATGAAAAAAACATAGCAAGAATGCATTTTTAAAGCAACGTGACCATCAATACATTTTATTTGTAGTTGAAGGTATACAATTGCGTTCAAAATATATTTTTGAAGCCATATAACTGTTTAAATTGTTTATATTTCGACATTAAATTACACATAGATGTTTATATGCCGCTAAATAAAATCAACCAACCAAAATGAAATAAGTCTGTCATAACATTAATCAATATAATATCCCTCAATTTGTCAAAAAATCAAACTTTATTCCAAAATATAACGTCAAGCACATATATCACCGTCTTCAGTAATTATGTCCTAGCGAACATGTACATTGGCAAATGTTAAGTATTATCTACCATTTATTCAATTGTGGAAGCAGAATAACATATATGATATGTTTATTATTTCAAATCCCGCAGGAGAATTAAATTACTCTATTAAATGACCCATGAAGGCGTTGATATGCCGTTAGACAAACAAATCAAATTAAAAGGATCTGTTTGATGTATCCGGATAATATTGGTTGCTATGCTTACAACGATTCTGCTACTGGAGCCACCGACCTTCTTCAAATGTCTGTCCTCAAAATCGGCACCCTTTAGGAGATTAGATCAATCACTTTATTCAATTATCTGGATAAAAACTTCTCATTATTTATTTTTTTTTACCATAATGTCGCCTCCCTGCTTACATGACGTAGTTGATCAATTCCTTGGCTCAGGCATATTAGTTTCCAGCACTGTTTCGATTTCAATCTCTGCCTATAGACAGCTTTGAAAAAAACATGCTCTCTTTTCGCGGAAGACGAAACGGAACGGTGGAAGAAAACATTTACTTCTTTTCAAACGTTCCGATTAAAATATTTTAGCCTTTTCTTTGAAAATGACCCCTCAAATTCTTGTGTTAGTTTACATTCTGCATTTAAAAAAAATAGTTTCTTCTTAAGATTTTCCTGACAACATCTTTTAAGCTTTCTCATCAAGAATAAAAAAAAATGAATACTTAGACGCTAATATTTTCAGACTTGTACCGATTTGAATATTTCTAATTTAATTTCCATTTATTTTATTATTTATACCAACCCCCATGAAAAACTATGGCATTTTGAGTTAAAAAGTTGTCCACATATATATTCTCAAACTTCTATTGTGTCTCTTAAAATTGAAATACATCAAACATCACAAGTAAGGTATGAGAAAAAAAAAAGGAAGAAACGAGAAATAACGGTTGATATTTCATTGCACAGGTTGCTGATGGATGCGATATCGCTTATACACAGCTTCGCTTCGAGACAAGCGAAGTCATGACCCTCCACAAATATGATTGTTTATTTATTATATCTCTTTTTCACTTTTTTGTCATCCATTAACTATAAATGTAATTGTAAACTGACGCGGCTTTGTTGCTAAACTAGTACTACGCTTAAATTAATAAAGTCTACGTACCAGTCTTGTCCTTTAAAAACGTTTCCAGAAAAAAATATTTATAGAAATGTCACAGGATACCTATATTACGGCGATTGGAAATTGACTGAAACGGAGTTCAAGATCAGAACCAATAAAATTGCCAATTCTTCATTGTAATCAACAAAAATCTCAAAATACATAGCAGAACATTTGAATATATTTGACAGCAATATTCAATGCATGGACGAATGGTTTGGTTTCGTTTGTTTTACGGCATATCAACCGCAATGGGTTATTTAATACCGACAACATTTTTAGGATAGATTCGTATGAATAGAATATATATTCTTTGGCTTTGTTTATTTTGTTTTATGGCATATCAACCTCAATGGGTTATTTAATGCCGACAACATTTTTAATGCTGGTAATATTTTTTTCTTGAAACATGTATTGCTAGTAACATTCTTCATTCAAAAAATCTATTTCTAATATTTTTTTCATAAAAACAGTATTGCTGGTATTTTTTTTTCTTTTTTACCTACAATGTATTGCTGATAATAATGTATTGGTGGTAATTCTATCATTTTTAAAAGTATTTCTAGTATTAATTTATTTCATAGTGTTTTATCCCCAGTTTGGGGGTTAACTATTTGCCCACAGATGGGACCCTAACAGGTGATACCAACCCAGGTCTGGGTGGACCTGGAAACACCAGCAATTAATAGGTGGTTCCACGGTCCTCAAAACCTCCTGATCAGAGGTCTTGATGTTGGACGTAATTTATCGTCTTACCCAGGACGCGGATGTAGTTTATCGTCATACCCAGGAACGGCATGGACAAATGGTAGACTTATAAATATGTAAGAAAGATTCTGAAGAGAATGTTTAGCACTGCACAGGGAACACATATTCTTAGCAGCAGATCAAGCAATTGATTCACTATATTCATTCTATTTCCAGTTATTCTTCGAAAGTGCAATTAGTCTCTATCATGGACCAGCCATGCTGATGGAAAGCATAAAGGGGATTCGCGGACGATTAATAGAAATCAATTTCGTTTTGAATGCGTTAAAATTAACAAGCAATTTGTTGCCTTAATGTTTATCAATTTATTATGTCACAAAATTTCACATTTGATTTCAGCTGTATTTTCTTCATATTTTTATAATTTACATTTTGATAAAATTCTGATTTTCAACGCATCAAGACAATCATGACTTGAGTGACTGACGTTCTACAACAAACCTTCTGTCTACTATCACTATCCATTGACCTTTCACTATAGAAATCAATGGTGACCGAATGGTATATAGAAAAAGAACATTTAACCACAATGGAAATTTTATATTTCTTTGTCAAGAATATTCTGAAAAAATATCAAATTTTCGGAATTACTTTTATTTTCTAATAACTTTTTTTCTTTTTGGAATATTTTCTGCAAATTAATATTTAAATAATTCCTAAAATATCAGAGAAATACTTTCGGCTGGAAGGAATTATGCCGACGAAAGAAATAGTTGGAATAAAAATGATGAAATAAAGAAATAAGATTCATGATAAACCTCTCCAAAACAGAAACAAATATCTGAAATTTAAATAAAAGCAATAAAGGCAGCTGCCCCGAATTCAACTAAAAAAAAATTCAGTATATGGAATTTGTAAATGGTGAACCCTTCAAATAATTCGGTGTATAGATCTGTTATAACAATTTTACTATAAGTGATAAGGAAATTCAACATAGAATAGGCTTTACCCCAACACTGCAAATTGTTACAAACTCAAAGCATTAAACTAAAACCTCTGGTAATGTTTTTAAATAGACTGGTCAGATCTAGATCTTCATATGGATGTCATTCATACGACCAAAACAGAGTTTATTTTGTTTAATATTTCATATTAAAAAAAAATCGCGTCATTTTTTTTAAATAGCCTCGTCAGATCGAAGCTTTCATATGGATAGCCTTCATGGCATCGAACCTGTCCAGATATATCTAAGCTATCGGTTTTGATCAACAGATTTCTAAGATCAGTAGATAAAATAGTTTTGAGCGAGTGAAGACTACAGATCTTGGCGGAATCACCCTCCATCAAAATCTTGTACACTGGCGCTACAGAATCACAAACAAAAAC